CGGGTTTGGCGACGCGAACGGCGTTCCAGAGCTTATCTAGCTCCAACAACTGGTATCGGAGCCGGTGAGGAGGCGTTCGGCGGCGGAGAGAAGACCAGGAGGTTGCTGGGTGGTTGAATCCATCGAGTCCAAGATCGAGGAGACGTGAACCCGAGAAGCTGTCGCCATGGGCAGCAGTGGTGAGAAGGAGAAGGAGACGATGGAGCGTGCTTGGAATCAAGCGTCGGGAAATCTGGTTTGGCCGATGCTTTCTCGCACAAACTATCAAGAGTGGTCCGCACATGTGCAATGTAATCTCGAAGCAATGTATCTGTGGGATGCGATCGAGAGTGACAAGGTCGAACGGCGACGTGATCGGCTTGCGCTCAGCGCCATGATCCGTGGCGTGCCCCCTGAGATGCACTCCATGTTGTTGAACAAGAAGTCGGCGAAGGAGGCATGGGAGGCTATAAAATCGATGCGTCTAGGTGCAGAGCGAGTAAAGGAGGTGAATACGCAGAAGCTGCTGGCGGAGTTTGAATCGATCTCGTTTAAACCAGGAGAATCGAACGAGGACTTCGCCGTTCGGAACGGGGAGCTTGCAACCGATCTAAAGGGCCTTGGTGAAACAAGCGTGGATGACACGCGGGTCGTGAATAAATTTCTAAGAGTTGTGCCGGCACGCTACAATCAGGTGGCGGTGACAATTGAGATGTTTTGCGACTTGAAGACTCTGACTGTCGAAGAGCTTGTCGGACGTCTCAGGGCGGCGGAGGACAGGTTTGAGCCTTCGGCAGATCAAGTCACCGACAAGGCAAAGCCCTCTCTTCTACTTACAGAGGAAGAATGGATGGCGAGGAATAAAAGTCGCATGGTGCATACCGAGTCGTCATCCTCTGGCGGCAAAGGTGGAAGCCACTATGTGAAGAAGGACAAGTCCGGAGCGCGGAGTGGTGGCAGCAAGATTGACCGTGACAAGCGCGACTCCGGTAGTCACCCATCGTCGAGGACGCCTCGACGAAAGGGAAGGTGTAAGAAGTGTGGTGTCTATGGGCACTGGGCGAGAGAATGCCTAAACAAGAAATCGGTGAAAGAAGATCATGAAGATGCAGCTCATCATGTCAGTGGAGACACGGACAAGAATCCAGCACTGTTGGTTGCTCAGGTGTGCAACGTGTTGCATGCGCCTGGGACCGGTGGTCCAGGCTTGTTCCTAAATCAGGAACGAGTATTCCATGCGAAGTATGACGAGGGAGCGTGGGTGCTAGATACAGGCGCCACCAATCATATGATAGGTTGCCGAGCTTCGTTGGCAGACCTGGATGAGTCCGTGCGAGGAGCAGTGAGATTTGGAGATGGCTCTACCGTGGAGATCTATGGTATTGGCGCGGTGACGATGGCCGGCAAGAACCAGGAGCATCGCGTACTCACTGAGGTTTATTTTATCCCTTCTTTAAGATGCAATATTGTTAGTCTTGGTCAATTAGAGGAGGCAGGGTGCCGGGTGGAGATTGACAAAGGTGTACTAGAAGTGTTCGAGCAGGAACAGATTGGGGTTACTCACTCAGCTGTGATCCGTGCAGAACAAAGGAATCGCCTGTATGTCATGAAAGTCAATCTGACCTCACCAGTGTGTTTGTTGACCAAGATGGAAGAAGAAGCATGGAGATGGCATGTTCGTTTTGGGCATCTAAACTTCAGGGCGCTTCGTGACGTTGGAGCCAAGCAGATGGTGGAGGGATTACCTCTTATTAGGAGAGTGGAGCAGGTGTGTGACGGCTGTGCGCTCGGGAAACAACACCGAACTCCCTTTCCTCAGGCCTCGGCATGGCGTGCGTCAAAAGGGCTCGAGCTGGTACACACAGACCTCTGTGGGCAAATTACACCACCCACACCAGGAGGCAAATCTTACTTCATGCTTATCGTGGATGATCATACATGGTACATGTGTGTTGAGCTGCTGGGTGTCAAAAGTGAAGCTCTTGCCTGTTTCAAGAAGTTCAAAGCAGCAGCAGAACTAGAGTCAGGCCGTCGCCTGAAGGCACTCAGGACAGATCGTGGAGGAGAGTTCAATTCGGGAGCATTTGTGGTATTCTGCAGTGAGAATGGGATCAAGCACAATACCACCACCCCGTATACTCCTCAACAAAACGGGGTTGTGGAATGGAGAAACCAAACAGTGGTCGAGATGGCACGTTGTCTGCTAAAAAGTATGAATGTGCCGTCTCGGTTCTGGGGTGAGGCTGTCAGAACAGCTGTATATATTCTGAATCGATCTCCAATGAAAAGTCTGAGAGGGCAGACTCCTTTTGAAGCATGGTTTGGGAGGAAACCAGGGGTCAAACATGTTAGGACATTTGGGTGTGTTGTTTATGCTAAGTTGATCGGCCCCGGGGTAAGCAAGTTGACTGACAGAGCTGTTCCAGGAGTGTTTCTCGGGTATGAACCAGGGACAAAGGGTTATCGTATTTACGATCCGGTGAAAGACAAGCTTATGGTGACGCGGGATGTCGTGTTTGATGAATCAAAGTCATGGAATTGGGAAGGGAATGACAGCAGGGCAAATGGAGGAACGACTAAAATGTCTGATATGTTTCAGGTTCATTAGGAGTATATTGTTCCTCGTCCGACAACAGCCACTGAAGCATCTGAAAAATGTTGTACCTGACGCTGTTGAACCGGGGTCGCCTGCTGCGTCCATTCCATCGTCGGGGTGCGTCCAACTCGCCTCCACACACTCCCAGTTCCATCTCTGGTGCACCGATGGTGCAATGGGCGACTCCGCCCACCGGTCAGTCTGTTGACTCTGACGGCGCTCCACTGCGATATCGGACTATACCGAATTTGCTAGAAACTACAGAAGAGTTACAGGATTTCGAGTATAGTGGCATCTATCTTGTTGCAGCTGAGGAACCGAGATCAGTTGAAGAGGCATTGGCCGAGCAGTGTTGGAGACAAGCCATGCAAGCAGAGATGCAAGCGATAGAAGCTAATCAGACCTGGGATGTCAGTGTATTGCCACCCAAACACAAGGCAATTGGCCTTAAATGGGTTTTCAAGATCAAGAAAGACCCTGATGGGAACATAGTCAAATACAAAGCTCGTTTGGTTGCCAAAGGGTATGCTCAACGTTTTGGTGTTGATTTTGAGGAGGTATTCGCTCCGGTTGCCAGAATTGAGACTGTACGAGTACTATTGGCACTAGCAGCGCAAGGGGGTTGGGAAGTTCACCATATGGATGTCAAATCTGCATTCTTGAATGGTGAACTGTCTGAAACCATGTATGTGCAACAGCCTCCAGGTTTTGTAGTCGGCAATGGAGACAAGGTACTCAAGTTAAGAAAAGCACTTTATGGGTTAAAGCAGGCGCCGAGGGCGTGGAATGCAAAACTGGACAGAGAATTGTTGGCTCTGGGTTTAGTCAGAAGCAAGATGGATCATGCTGTCTATAGGAGGAAAAATAGGAACTCTTTCTTGCTTGTAGGAGTTTATGTCGATGATTTGATCATCTCTGGACCAGATGTGAAGGACATCAAAGTTTTCAAGTCAGAGATGAAAGAAAAATTCAGCATGAGTGATTTGGGGCTTTTGAGCTATTATCTGGGAATTGAAGTGAAACAGGATGCAAATGGCATCACATTGTGTCAGAGTTCCTATGCTGCCAAGATTCTAGAATCTGCAGGGATGAGCAACTGCAACTCATGTGAGACTCCCATGGAGTGTCGACTGAAACTCACAAAGCTTAAGGAAGGAGAACCTGTGAATCCTACAGAATATAGGAGTATAATTGGGAGCCTGAGGTACATCATCAACACTAGGCCTGACCTAGCTTATGCCGTAGGTGTTGTGAGTAGGTACATGGAGGCACTTGGAAAGGAACACTGGGCTGCTGTGAAACACATTTTGAGATACTTGAAGGGTACTCTTGGATATGGCTGCAAGTATGATAAAGGTGCTGAACTGAAACCAATTCTAGTTGGATACAGTGATAGCGACTTCGCAGGAGATGTCGAAGATAGGAAGAGCACGACAGGGGTTGGCTATTTCCTTGGGAGTAGTCTTGTTACCTGGGCATCACAGAAGCAAAGGATTGTTGCCTTATCTTCATGTGAAGCCGAGTATGTGGCAGCAGCAGCAGCAGCAGCAGCGTGTCAAGGCATTTGGCTGAACCGACTGATTGTAGACATGTTGGGGACTAAGGAGATGACAGTGAAGCTACTCATGGATAATATGTCCACGATAGCACTCAGCAAAAATCCCGTGCATCATGACCGCAGTAAACACATTGATACGAGGTATCATTTTCTGCGTGAATGCATAGAAGAAGGCAATGTGGAAGTTGATCATGTAGGCACTGAAGAACAGCTCGCCGATCTCTTCACTAAAGCTTTGGGACGAGTCAAGTTCGTGGAGCAACGGAGTGCTCTAGGTGTCGTCGAGGTGCATCAAGTTTAGGGGGTGTTTTGTTAGATAAATTGATGCACATTATTCATATGATCTTAGTCAATTAAGAGTCTGTAATAGTTAGGAAAGGGAGAGCGTGATCGTAGGCGTGCGGGATCAGGACTCGCCCGGTTGTGTCCGGTAGACTCATGCCATGACGTTCAGAGCGCGCGTAGCGCACGCCGCGGTGAAATGGTGTTGCGATCTTTGTGCGATATGGCGTGGGGGGTTTGGAGTCTGTAAACCTCGAGCAAGTCTATAAATAAAAGGAACACGAGGCCGAATAGGCTGCGGTTGGTTGTAGCGTCGTAATCTAGCGCGATCTTGAGCTTTCCATCTATGAGGGTTTATCTCGCCGCGATCACCATCGGGTTCGGCGACGCGAACGGCGTTCCAGAGCTTATCTAGCTCCAACAGTGTCGGCCTGTCGGGTGACCTGGTGGCGCTCGTGCTCCACCGGAGGTGAAGTTGTTCATGTGGCAGCTCATGCATGGGACATGGATAGCTAAATGGGTTAGCCGGCTATTTAAAACATTGCGTGTGATGCTCTCAGGCTGCTCTTCAACGGCTGCTCCGGGATGTCAAGCATGTGCACACCCGTCACATACTCGTCCACCAGCCGCAGCAGCATCTCCAGCGGCGCGTAAGAGAGCCCGTTCAGCGTTGATCAACACTAGCGCCGTGCTCCGCTTCTGCAGCGGATATGCCTACGTCACCGTCACGTTGATGGACGAGTAGTGGGACGAGCCGTGCGGGTAGCTAGGCCACGCCACGCTGGCGGTCAGGCTCCACCCACCTGATGGGCCTAGAAAAAAAATTGGTGAATACAGTATGTATGGAGCTTCAGTGCATACCGCCCTTGATTTGCTGCCACGTGTACTAACAAAATAACCAAACGCTCGTGGTTTTTCTCCGTCCACCTGCACTGATCCGTGATTGACTCAGCCTGAGGTGTGGTGTTGGATAATGAGGTGAGAACATGTAGCATCATCCATGGCATGTATGCATAGAAGGCGTATGCATCCAATCCCCCCACCTCGCCTGGTTCATGGTCCTGTCGTTCTGGTCCTGGGGCGTGAAGGGGAGGGGGGCTGGACAACATCATGAACTAAAGCCAAATTGACATCTAAAAATTCAGAAATATTACATCATGAACTAGAAGTAAGCTGAGCAATATCAGATTTACTAAGACAAACCCGCAGAAGAAAATTCCAATAAATTAACTAAAGCCAAGATCATAGCATGTCCAGTATGATACTAAAAACTGCATCACTGCACCACAACACCACATCACCGTCAGATATCTGAAGCTAAAAATTATATTTGGCGATAGATGATCTGTCCCTAAAGGTAATTCACAGACTGTCTGACGTTAAATCCTCATTTAGCGATTTGTTATTTGTCGCCATAGGTACTCGTATTTAACGTTTAACTGTCCGACGCTAAAATAAAGTATACTGTCACTCAGTCTGTCGCAAAAAATAAATGAGCCTCACCATCGCACGCATAATCAGCTCGCACGCCCGTTTACATTCATCTCCCAGACAAATATTAGCCTGACCCATGAGTACAGAAACCAGTCCAAATCCCAAATCCAGAAGCGCTCAACCTGCCCGCATGCCGCCGCCCTCTCCCTCTCCCAAATCACGCCCGCCCGGCCACCCACAACCCTCAGAATCTCATACCCGCCCCAAAGCTCTGCGCCGGCGCCCTGCTCCCTCCCACATTCCGTGCCCCGCCCCAAAGCTCTGCGCCGGCGCCCTGCTCCCTCCCAAATCCCGCCGGCCCCCAGCTCCCTCCCGCCCCGCGCCGCCCACCCTCTGGGACTCAGCACGCTGCCCAGCCCTCCCTCTGCTACTGCGCCGCCAGGAACCCCGCCCGCCCTGCCTAACTGTCCTCGCGGGAGCGCCACCTGGAGCCCCGCCGACCCCCTGGTCCCGCCTACCCTGCCCACCCCCTACAACTGCGCTCCGCCCTCCCCAGAGCCGTCCCTCACCACGCGCTTCACCACCCCCGACGCCGTGCCCTCCAGCATCCACGACGGTGCGGCCTCCTCCACCCCCGGCGGCGCTCCATCCCCCATCCGGCGCGGCTTCCTCTCCACTCCAGCGTGGCTTCCTTCCTCCCCTTCTGGAGCCTTCTGCTGAGTTGGGGCAGAGCTGCTGGGGTGGGGGTGTTGCCCTCGCTTGCTGCTCGCCCTGTGCCGCGGCCGTCGCCGCCATTTCCCATGTCCTTGTGGCGGGGTGTGTTGAGGCGCGACCCGTCGTGGCACGCTTTTGCTGTTGCTGTTGCTGATTGAATAAGTTGTCACTGTTCTTCGTAAGTTCCTTGTTCCTGTACTTTTGCCGCTAATTTGAGCAGCTATATGCCGTTTGTGTGCCTGTCCGTGCTGCCTTTCGGCCCGGGCCCTGAAAGGAAAGGGAGATTAGGTGGTGTCGGGTGTGTGTGTATGTGAGGGGGTGTTGTGGGGGCGGGAGGTGGCAAAGGCTAAGGGGATCGAAGCCGACCTTGTTCTGTGCGATCGTTGTTTGGGTAATTTTGGTTCAGTAGACGTTCTGGCTTGTAACAGTGAGCGTACTTGATTGGAGTTGTAGCCGATTTTGGTGTATCTGCTCTGAATTTGATGTGTGGAGGATTGGATCTGTAGAATTTGTGCAAGGTTTCTAGGTGATGAATAGGTCATATCATAATTGTGGTTGTTAGAAAATGCATGTTTCAGTTGTGTCCTGGAAAAGAGATTGCAGAGTGATTTTATTTTGTTGGTTTACGTTGATATCATATACTAGCAAAATTTGCATAAGCTTGCTAGCTGTTACAGCCTTACAGGTCTGGACCTTTCTTACTATCATATATGTGTGTAATGTTTGATCAATATGGGCTGGAACATTTCTAAACTAGAACAAATACTTATGGGCTGCTCGGAGTTGCTTTCTTACTATGTTAGGTTAACTTCTGCATAAAAAATTAATAATCTTTAGATGTCACTTGGATACTGCACTTTACTACTACCTCAGATACTGCACTTGGATTAAACTGATCTTTTTAAAATAAAGGATAGTGATTTCTAAACTAGTACAAATACTAATTGGCATTGTCATGTGCATTTTCCTACAGACAACTCATAACACAAGTGATGCAGCCATTGAACATCATAATTTGCGACCAAGACCACAAAGAAATAAACTAGACTTGACATAATTTTCATTTTGTTTTGATCTGTGATGCATGACCAATGTCCTAATTAAACCTATCTGTGATAGATAAAGGAATGCAAGAAGGCATCTAGTATACCTCTCAAGGGCACTGCAGGTATGTCCCAAAATTAGAGGCTGACAAAGTGAATAGAGGCTGCAAGTGAACAGAAAATAACAGCTCAATTACATATGCAAGTACTAGCTAGTAGTAGTGCTCATGGTCTGACAAAGTCACAAAGTGATGGCTTCTACTATTAGCAATAGGGCCCTCAAGTTTATTATTGCAATGGACTTGCTTCCCAGACAACTTCAATCATGTTGAAATTATTCATGCAACATGGCCTGCCTGCTTGTCTCCTTGACTGATTATGTAGCCTAGAACTTCTTGACATTGTCATTTTCTAAATTCTGGATAAGCATTGAATGGAATTTTTCAATGGGAATACTGGATAGTGAGGGAATTTTTCGATTCTTACATTTGTTTTTGGAAATGTTAGTTGACACATTTACTTGATTCTGAACTTTACAGGGGTGTTATGGCAAAACATCAACGCTCTGCTGTTGCTACAGCTACAGGTCTTGTTTCCAAATGCCTTGTAGCTGCAATATAGCAATTTTCCTTTTCAATAAATTCTCTGTAGTGCACCATATGAGGCTATGAACTGTGGCACAATTATTTCTACTGATGCATTAAAGGTTGGAAAAACTGATATATGCCAGCTAGGCTACCTCAATAATCCAATTTTATGTCATGCTTGTACTGTGATACGTATTTGATACTAGAACGTGTCTGATATTTTATATGTATTGATATGAATTAAGGAAGTGTCAAATTTAGTTTGTTCTTTTAACAAAGGGGAAAACCCAATATGCCTTTATACAAATTTTCGTCAAATTTTACATTTAGGTCATCATGGAACCGCAACCAAATGAATCGAATCGCTAGCACCCAACTTGGGCTCTTCCTTCCTCTGTCCTTTCCGCCGCCGCCGCCGCCACCTCCCTTCTCACCATTGTCTCCCTCACTATCATTCACGCTGCCTCCTTCCTCTATCACACTTCGCCATAGCTTGAGCTCATGTCAATGTCGAGGAGGTAAAGCGTGCATTGCTTTAATCAAGGTATTTCTTTTGCATTTATTTGTGAAACTTTTTAAATCGTGTCGCTGTAGGCGTACCAGGTTCCATGGTGACCTAGTAACACTGGGAATATAGTTGAGGACTCTTTCATATCGATGTTTTGCTTTTGGTTTGGTATTGTAATCTTAGCCAACTTTATTTTGCCTCAAAGTCGAGGAAAGGCACCATAACATGTATAGTCTTTGTTGTACATGGGCGGGGTTAGAGTGAGCAGTAGTAAGTTAAAACACTACTCAGAGAGAACCTTTAGAAGTATCAAATTTAACTGTACATTCACTATTTCTAACTTCATCATCTTGCCTGAAACCTGCAGTTCTAGTTATCTTGGAATGGCTGCATATGCACTCATGTTCATTAGCCAGGCTGGGCATGCCTAGATGATTGCATGTAATGCATGAATTCAACATGGTGCATCTTTTGGTGTGATCCAGAATTGAGCTGTTGCTTTCTGCACATATTTGAATGCTATTATCTATTAGTATTAAATACGATTATGTTGGTCAAACTCCTTATCTGAACCCCTGTGTTTCATCTCATCCCTGCCTTTGCATTCAGTTATTTTAGCATGTCTGTTGCTCAGGAACAAAGAAGCGCAAAGCAAAGCTGCCGAATAGGGAAGATTCCATTGAGAATGAAGAAATGGTGACTGAACATGAGGCTAAAACAGATAGCAATGACACCACTGATGAGCCTGTTGTCCGCAAGAGACCAAAGAGGGCAGCTGCCTGTTCTAACTTCAAAGAGAAAGAATTGGGCTTATCCGAGGAAGATTTAATTATCACAATCAAGGAAAGTAGGGTGGAAGAGGAGGAAATAGAAGCTGTTAGGTTGACAAAAACAGAACCCGAAGACCGTCGGCCTTCCAGAAAACTCATTGATTTCTCCTTGCATGATGCAGATGGTAATCTACAACCATTTGAAATGTCTGAAGTTGATGATATTTTCATGACAGCTCTTATCCTGCCTTTGGACAATGGTATGGAAAAGGACAGGAAAAAGGGTGTACGCTGTTTAGGATTTGGGAGAATCAAGGAGTGGATAATTTCTGGCTACAATGAAGGTACTGCAGTAATTTAGATTTCAACAGAAATAGCTGATTACAAATGTGTGAAGCCGGCAAGCAGTTACAGATCTTATTTTGACCACTTCAGTGAGAAGGCTCGAGTCTGTGTTGAAGTTTACATGAAGATAGCAGATTAGTAAGTTAAATCCATTATTTCTTTGCTTGCAATGATGTATTATTGTCGAAGTGATATTTATGTACATGTATTTTAGGGAATTAGGCCTTAGGATGTGAAACACAAACTACTAGTATTGTTTTCTGAGGAGTACATTCATGTAATTCTTTTGGTGGTTGACTTTGCTAGATGCTATGTACACAAACATATGGTGTACAAGACAAATTTATTTGGTGCTTGACTTTGATGGATATGATGTACAAGACAAATTGGATGTTATATGTATTGAGTTGCATGTGATATGTGTTTATGTATCTTCATGTGACATGTGGACACTATATGAGCATTGAATATCGTTTTCATATGTGCTAAAAATTGTATTTTTTCTATATTAAATTGTTCTGTTGAACAGTCTGTCGCTGTAAATGTATGGAGTGTTGGATGATCTGACAGTGAATGTGTGGTAACAGATTATCTGTTGCTAAAGAGTGGCTACAGGCTATCTGTTGCTGTAAATATTCACCGCAACAGACCATCTGACGCTAAAGATTTTTAGCAACAGGACTTACAAGCGTCTGAGCAAGTCTGTCGCTGTAACTTTTTAGCGTCAGTTCGTCTGTCGCTGTAGCCGCTTTTAGCGTCAGATTGTCCATCGCTAATCTTGGTGTTGTGGTGTAGTGCATCCACATATGCATCTTCTCCTGCTAGGATGTTATTAAGTTACATTGATGAAAAGCAAAAGTCATTCTCCTCATTGTCACTTCTGGAAGTACACGTTCCAGAAGCATAGGACACACCATAGTTTCAAATTTGAAGAATTCATAGCATTGGGGATAGTTTATGCCAGCAGTTGATCCGCAATAAGATAAATTTTGGTAGATAAGAAGATACACGAAAGAACTAATATGTAAGCGAAAGTTTTCATCAACAAAGCATTGGTACTCATAGCTCCTTGTCCATCTTCACATCTCTTTCTCCACTTCAAGGCTTTGTCTACAAAAATGAGGCCAAACATCTTAATCAGAATATAGGTGCATAAAAAAGTTGGTCACATCTTGAATCACAAATATTTTAGATTTTGCATCACAAGATTTCGCGTCACAAAAATACTTTAGACTCTGACACAAAGAAAGTAAAAGAGGTTAATGTCTAAAGATTGCCAAAGGTAAAAACTTGTTTCAAGCTTGCTCACATAAAAGTCAAAACAGCCAGTGTACTGAAATAAAACTGACGGTAGGGTGCTGATCTAATCAGTACTAATTCCCCTACATAACAAATTAGTGAACAACCATGTCTACACCAGGAGTAACCAATGGTTGAAATCTCTTGGGTGCTTCGTAATTTATGGATCAAACGGTCCAAACCACTTGGGTATAACTACAATAGAGTTGTGCAAAAAGGTTGTACGTCAAGCATTTTCCATCATGATTTCATCTCTTCAGAGTACTAATTAAGATGCCCCTGAATTTTAATGAGTAGAATCAGCATACCCTGTAGCTTGATTGCATCAAGTTATTTAACCACTCTAATGGTGATAATTTGGGAAAAAAAATAACACAGATTAGCCAAATCCTATCCCCTACATGAAACTTGCATGCACAGTTGTAAAGCATGTTCAAGGCTCAATTTGCAACCATATCTTTCATTTTATGGTTGTAGTTGTAATAACACAGATTAGCCAAATCCTAGTGAGCAGATTGCTTTAATATTTGTGTAGTTGTAATATAGAAAAGAAGACAAGCACTATTCTTCCATTTTATTATGCAATTGCAGTTACATCACGAACTATCATATTGAACTATCAGCCACGTCATCAGAATAATTTTAGCCATCAGATCGACTCTGTTTTCAATGATCTGACGGTCTGACCGTCCAAACCTTTTGTCTTCTCTAGCACTCTCCCTCGCTCAAACATCTCCATCGTGCTCCCCCTAATCACCCAAAAGATGTACGTACATGTACTTGAACCGTCCATGTCCTTTCCTCTTCCTATCCCACAATTAAAACGTACTACTGTCATATTGTGTCCCTATATATGTTGCCTCTGGCACTCGCGATGTTTCCTCTGGCATCATAGCTACCACAAATGTCGCACAAGCATCCTCCAAATCACGCGCCCCAGGTACGTACTATTTGTACTACATGCAGCACTCCAGCTGAATTCTGGATTTAGTTCCTTCAGAATGCTTTTTCAGGCAACAAAGCCAGTGCTTGGATTTAGTCTCAGTTGGCAAAAGAATAATACATCATCAGTCATCACCTTGATTGTTTAGATTGCTATGTTTCTATATCTTATCCGCCTACCTTTAGCATACCTTTAGCAAATAACACTATTGTCTGTCTGTCGTGGTCGGTATGTCGTGGTCGGTAAGACATATAGTAGGAGACAGATGTCGGAGTGGCTAGTAGGATAATTAAATAGGGAGGGGCCAAGGCCCAGCTGTTATAGATTTCAATAAAACAAGTAGAAATGGTTATGGGCTCAGTTGAGACCAGGCCCATTAGCATCTTCTAAACCCCGTTATATATATGAGGGAGAATTATAAATGAAGGCAGGCAAGTTTAGGGTTAATCCCTTTATCCTCTCTCTCCCTTCCTCTCTTCTATGCAGCCGCCTCTCCACATCTCTGCGCTTGCGCCGCCAATCCACATGCCGCCACCAGCCGAGCCACCACAGCCGGTCGCCCGGCCATCTCAGCCACTGCCTGGCTCGCCCTAGCCGGCCGCCTGCCCTCATGGCTGCCGCCCAGGCCGCCACAACCGGCCCGCAGCAGCACCAGCCGGCCAAGATCAGCCTCCTGCCAGCCCTCTCTGCCCGATTGGGAATGGGACGTGTGACACTATCATCCTCCCTCCACCAGTAAGGTCGTTAAGACTCTCTAGTGGTTTTGTATAAAATCACATCAGAATTTGGCAGCACCCTTTTTAAAGCAATTTGGCAACACTTTTGTATTACTGGAAAGTGAAGGATTAGCTTTTGCATTTTTATAAAACAAAAAACACTTATGTATTCCTTCCAACTTTGGCAATTTCAGTTTTGGCAACACATACATGCTCTCCAATCAGATAAGCTGATTCGATTTCTACTTGGGCACCTTAATTATTCACACATGTACTTGCCAATTTGCTTTTAGAAAAGTAGTAAAAGATAAGGCCGCAAGCACTTTATTCATGCAGGTACTACAAGCATGCAGAAGATAGGACAGCCAAATCAAGCCAAAGTAGAGCATGTGAAAGCTCTTTGCATTATATATTTTTAAAGCAAAAACACTTAAATGTATTCCTTCCTATGCAATTTCTCATTTTTGGCACAGCGCACTATTGTCTATGCAAAATCATTCTTCAAACTTCTGTAGCAACGCGCGGGGAATTCAACTAGTTGCATTAATATTTGTGTAGTTGTTAAATCAGAAAAGCAGACACGCACTATTCTTTCATTTTTATTATGCAATTGCAGTTACATCAAGAACTATCATATTGAACCATCAACAAGATTCCTTACCAATTGTGTTCAGTAAATAAGCAGCAGTTCAGGTAGATAAGGGTGAAAAGAGATGACACCAAACCAAAAAACCTCTGCGCTCAAATACATTTTCTTAAAAGTAGAGCAGTTGAACAGACCAGAGACGACATTAAACAAGACAATGACTAAAGTACAGAAAATTTTCCCACCATGTTAATTTACTTACTCCCTCCGTGTACAAATAAAACGATGTCCTGGCTCCTCGCGTAGTTTGCCGATAAAACGTCGTTCTAGCGCCGCAGCCCCTCCCCTGGACTTGTTTGCCCCTGGCTCATCGATCTCTGCGTGCAATTACTCAGTGCCGCGCGTGGGACGCTCGCCTCGATTCACGCCGCGCGTGCGACGCTCGCCCTTTTGTGTGGTCGTCTGCGTCTTAAAACCGCGCGCCGCTCGAGTACCAGCTCGCATCGCTGCACGCTGCGCCGCTCGTGCTCGGCCCCAACTCGCCTCGCTGCTCGCTGCGCCGCTCGCTGCTCGCGCTCGCCGGTCCGCTCGTCGCGCGCATGGCTTCATCGCGCTCGCCGGTCCGCTCGCCGCGCCGCTCGCGCTCGCCTCGCTGCTCGCTGCGCCGCTCATGCTCGCCGCTCGCCGCGCCACTAGCCGTTGGTTCCCTTGAACGGGAAAACAAAGCTTGGAAAACTTGTTTTCTGACTTCTTCGGGCATGTCTTTCCTCCGTTGGTTCCCTTGAACGGGAGCATGTTCTAGTTGTAAAAGAACACATTAAAAAACAGCAAGGAACCAAGGATATGAAATGCTTGTTGCAACAAAAAATTGTCGTTGAAGGAAACTTACCGTTGTCGTTGACATCCTCCAGTACAGGCTCGTTGAGATCGAAGGTTGCTAAATGCTGTCCTAAACGTCATTTTTTACCAGTATGGAGGGAGTATGTATGAAATTGAACTTTTTTCCTCTGTTCATCTAAACATAGAAGCGTGGTGTGGAGACAAAACTAACGGAACAAGTTACAACAACTCTGTAACAGCTTCCACTCAATGACAAAAGAGTTCCTAATGAAGATCTTTATGCACAAATTTCTAAGAAAGGTTCAGAACCTGTAAAACGTCACTAGGTGGTAGCTGAACATCTGCATCATTGCTTGCAGACAACAAGCTAGGGGTGGCAACTAAACCTAATTTCATAAACAGAGTTTCCGTTGTCAAGTGCAGGTGAGTTGAATGCATCTATGACCACTTAGTCAGATCTCCATTCTACGAAACAATTTAGTGGAATCTTGTTTAGGGTAAAGGAATGACTCAGTTATTCATGCTCAACACAGTTGCAACTCCAAAATTGATAAAGCGATAGCTAAACCAAATGAGTTGCTTGCTCAAGGTTTCTGTCAACAGGAGGCAACTGCACAGGAAAAGTTTGCACAGATACCAAAAACATTTCTGCATAGTAAACACAGGAGGCTCAGAGCAAAGGGTGGATACCTCAACTGCATACCACATCACAGAGCATGTAGCGCCTTCCTCAAGGACCTCCAAACCCTCACTGTCATAAGGGGGCATAAAACGAAGCAATCCACCGCGTGCATGCCCAATGCTCCCACGACATAGATCATTGAACCCATTCTCTTCTGACGAGACCCCATCACGTGCGAGTCCCCAATCACCAGAAGACCAATGAGCATGAGCATGGCGAACGCTATTGAGGCAAGCAACCCAAGAATGACAGGGTCACGCAGCAAGCCCCGCATTGCCGCATAGGATGTCTTCAGCATTGCCGCATAGGATGTCTTAAGAGCAGGCTCCTGGACCTGAACCAAAGGCAATTAAATCACGAATAAAAATTGCGGGGATGCAATAAAAGCTTCCAATTTCACATGGCACCTATCCTATTCGCATTGCCGCGCCTGAAAAAATTGGATCCAAAAGGCACTATTGTTTCCTTTCCGTACCTTTGTAATGTCGGTGGCCGCCGCCGCCGCCACCGGCACCGCGGCCGCCGCCTTCGCGCGGGACATCATCAGTGCCCCTAGCAGGCTGAAGGGGAGGACGAGCATAAGGGTGACCCCGGCTACATAGACGACCTTGTACGCCGCGGTGACCACAGCGCAGCCCTCGCCGCAGGCGAACCGCCCAATTTCCTTGGTGGCCATGCCCCAGAAGTAAAGCCACAGGCTTGTGAGCAACAAGCAGATGACGGTGCTCCAGGCGAGGTGAGTGCACACCAACCACGCCACGGTGTGCCGTGCTGGCGGCGGCGGCGAGGGATGCACCTGGGCGGCAGCGGCGACGATGGCCATGGAGGTGGCGAAACCCTAGGTTCTCAAAGCTTCTCCTCCTCTAGTGGTTGGCTACTGCCTACTTGGCTGCCTCTGTGTACTGTGGAAATGGGAAATAAGAGGTGTGGGGACGGGAAAGCGACGAATGCGAGAAGGGGGTCTACGGTCGGCTGCACTCGGATTAGGACGCGTTTAGCGGTATGGAAAAGGTACACCTCACTCGAGTGTTCCAACACTCGGTTTCTCTTTTTTTCATCTTCCATTCTTCTTCTACATCTCTAGCCGGTTTAAAAAGAAATTTTTTGGGAGATAGGTAGACCAGGCAGGCGATGGGGACGGGAGAGATATCGGCGAGGCGAAGGCGGAAGTGACACCACTAGACTGGGCAGCAGAGGATGCGACCAGGGCAGGTTGGGATGGGGGACGGCCATGGCCATAATGGCGGTAGGGGAGGGGAAGGTGGAGGTCATCGTGGGTGCAGTAGGGTGGCTTCCTCCGCAGAGCTCTGTGCGATGCCTTACCGTGTCGCGGCGTTGCGGTGGGCAGTGGGTGGCGGCGACGTGCCAGGAGGAGGAAGAAGATGCGAAGAAAAAAATCGGTTGTCAGGAGAGCTCAAAACACTCGGGAGAGGTAGACAGATTCTAGCAAAAAGGAGTGTTTCCTAATCCGTTTGCAAGAGCCAACAACAGCTTGCTAGGCACACTCAAGAATGCTTTTTGGATATGTTCAAATTCAATTTTTGTGCCTAAGGAACATGGTCACTCCTCTGCCGCCTCAAGAATATGTTCACTAGAAATGGAAAAGTAACAGAGGTGGTCTCCTCTCCCGCCTCTCTAGTCAGATTTCGAGAAAAAGGGGATGTTTAAAACGTCTATCTCTAGATATCTATTTAAAAAACAAAAAATTGAGCCCATCGCTGAGCCCATCGAGCCATGCTGTCAGGCCCATCTAGCCACCTCGTTGTTGATCCATCCACCTTCATTGTTGATCCATCCACCTCCAACTCCTTCACCTACACAGGAGCATCGATGTAGCTGTGGAATGAGCGGGGTGGGAAGGAAAAAGCGATGAATGTGAAAAACGGAAATGCTACGGGTAGAGCATACGATTGTCCGAGCGCCCATGTTGGTGGGCCTCGATGCTGCCCGAACGGCCTAACACAGTCATACGCACGGTTCTTCGCGTTGCTTAACAAAATAAAAAAAATCTCCGCTCACTTTGCTCTCAAACCCCACTGCAGCCGCACCTAGTCACGAATCGCCGCCATGCCCGCACTTCGCCTCGCTGCTCCCACCTTGCCTCGCCGCTCGCTCCCGCTCGCGACGCTTGGCTCTCCATTCCCGCGTCGCGCTCCATCCTACACCGCGCCGTGCGCTTCATCATCTCCTCCCCCACCCCCACCGTCACCCACACACCACAGCCATCCCCCCACCCTATCGCAGCCTGCTCGGGTGGCTCCGATGGGGTACGTGTCGTCGGCGGTGGCAAGGGTGCTAGAGCATCCCATGGTGTCGGGGTGGTCTGGGAGACGACGCTTCTCGCGGGCCCCTCTGGGCGACGGCTCTCCTCGGCCCCCTGCTTCACTGGGCCTTGCCGTTGCCACTCCAGCGCCTCTGCCAGGGCGGCCTCCATCCGCTCCCTGTCCTCCTCGCCAATCTACTGTAGTTCCCCAATAGGTAGGTCATGCCCACGCAACGACACTGTGTTCCAAGTATTTCTGGACGTTTTTCAGACATATTGCAAGCCTATGTTTCAAGTGTTTCGGTTGTTTCAGATGTTTGTTTCAATTATTTCATGCGAATATTGCAAAAGTAGATCGAGATGTTGCGCATGTTGCAATAGTTGTACAAGTATGTTGCAAGCATTTATCCCCAATGTTTCATCGGTTTTTTGTACACTTATGTTGTAAGTGTTTTAAACGCATGTCTCAAGTGTTTCATCTATCTTCTTTTGAATGTTGCAAGTGTTGCATCTGCATGTTTTGAAAGTAGATCGAAATGTTGAACATGTTGCAATGGTTATGATGCAAATGTTTCAGACCCATGTCTCAAGTGTTTAATCTGTTATCTTTTGCATGTTGCAAGTGTTGCATCTGGATGTTTCAAAAGTAGATCAGGATGTCGCACATGTTGTAATAGTTTTTTATTGTATGCACTAAATGTTTCATCTCTTTTAGACGTATGTTGCAAAGGTTTTATCTGAATGTTGCAAAAGTAGATCTTGTGTTTAAATGTTGTAGTGGGCCCATCTGCCACTGCCACATTGTCGGCCCCCTAACAACAGTGAATTTCTTCTTGACGTATGACCCTTGGTTATGATCTTGTCGTAACCATGGAGTGTCTTCATCATTTAACATGATGTTTGGATCTTTCTTCACTATGAAGGGTGGAATTTGGACATTTCTTTCATAATCTTCTGACATGTCTGACTTGTCTTCAATTCCCACTATATTTATTTTCCCAGAAAGAACTATGTGACGCTTTGGCTCATTGATCATTGAGTTGATGTCTTCGTTTTTTCCTCTTTGATTTTGTAGACATGTCTTTCACATAGAACACCTGACTCACATCGACAGCAAGGATGAATGGTTCATCTTTGTACCCAATATTGTTGAGATCCACTGTTGTCATTCCATACTCTTTGTCGACTGTTACCCCTCCTCCGGTCAGCTTCACCCATTGGCACCAGAACAAAGGGACTTTAAAATTAGGTGCGTAGTTTAGTTCCCATATCTCTTCTATGCGGCCATAATTTGTTTGTATATTCCCATTTGGATCTGTGCCATCTATGCGAACACCACTATTTTGATTGGTGCTCCTTTTATCTTGGGCAACTGTGTAAAATGTATTTTCATTTATCTCATACCCTTGGTACGTGAGGATATGCCACGATGGTTGCCTAGCCAACAAATACAGTTGCTTATCAATATTGTCATCGCCTTGACATTCTTTTCGCAACCAACCACTAAAACTTTCCATGTGCTGACGCCTAATCCAAGCTTCAGTCTTCCCTGGAAACTTGGATCGTAAGAACTCCTTATGTATCTCGATGTACGGATGCACCAATGATGAGTTCTAAAGAACTGTGTAGTGTGCTTTATTGAAATAATCGTCTTCCATGCCGATATATGTTTTCTTCCCTAAAGTTCCTTTACCACTGAGTCTCCCCTCGTGTCGCGATTCGGGAACGCCAATCGGGGCAAGGTCAGGAATAAAGTCAACACATAACTCAATGACCTCCTCTTTTCCATAGCCCTGGGCGATGCTTCCTTCAGGCTTAGAACGGACCTTCACATATTTCTTCAAGACTCCCATAAACCTCTCGAAGGGGAACATGTTATGTAAGAATACAAGTCCAAGAATACTAATCTCCTTCACCAAATGAACTAGGAGGTGTGTCATGATATTAAAGAAGGATGGAGGGAACACCAACTCAAAGCTGGCAAGATATTAAACCACATCATTATGTAGAGTAGCTAGTTCCACTGGATTGATTGCCTTCTGAGAAATTGCATTGAGGAATGCACATAGCTTCACGGTGGCTAGACGTACATGTGGAGGTAGAATTCCTCTTAAAGCAACTGGAAGCAATTGTGTCATAAGCATGTGGCAGTCGTGGGACTTTAAGTTTAGGAATTTCTTCTCTGGCACATTTATTATACCATTTATATTGGAGGAGAATCCCGATGGGACCTTGATGTTGCTTAGACATTCAAACATGATGTCCCTCTCTTCTTTGCTAAGTGTGTAGCTAGCAGGACTTAAGTAATGACGTCCATCATCTGTCTTCTCTGGATGAAGGTTGTCTCGTTCTTTCATGCCCTACAAGTCCTGGCGTGCTTCAAGTGAATCCTTTGGCTTCTCGTACACACCCATGAATCCTAACAGGTTCACATAAAGATTCTTTGTCAGGTGCATCACGTCGATTGCGTTGCGGACCTCTAGGACTTGCCAATAGGGTAGCTCCCAAAAGATGGACTTCTTCTTCACATGGGTGCGTGTCCCTTAGCATCTTTGGGAACATATTCGCTGCCTTGTCCCTTTCCAAATACTACTTTCACATCCTTGACCATTGCGAGTACATCTTCCCCGGTTCGGTTATGAGGCTTCTTCCGGTGGTCTGGCTTACCTTTAAAATGCTTCCCTTTCTTTCTTACTTGGTGATTCAAAGGAAGGAATCGACGATGGCCAAGGTACACGACCTTTCGACATCTTTTCAAATATATATTGTCAAGGTCATCAAAACAATGTGTGCATGCATTATATCCTCCGAGCTAGGATTCATGGCCAAGGATCACGGCGCCCCTGCCTTCACCGCGCCGGAGCCGCGCCCTCCGAGCTACCCTTAGCTCCCTCCGCCAGAGCCGAGGAATGCCGCTGCTGCCACCGTACCTGCCTTCCTGCTCTGCCCCACCGTTCTTCACTCGCTGCTATGCACGGACGGTAGGGAGACGCCGTACGCCGCGTCGGCCTACGCACCGTCCTGCTGAACTCCCTCCTCTCCTTCTCTCCCGCTGCTCTCTCCTCTCTCCAGCTCTGCTCTTCTTTTCCCCTTCTGCCTTCTCTTCCCCGTCCTGCTTAGCTCCTCCCGAGGACCGTCGCCGCCTAGCTGGCCCGGCCAGTTCGTGCTGGAACATCGGCCAGCCGCCAGCGACCAGGAGCCTCCAATTTGCCTCCCTGCCCTCTTCCCCTCTCTTCTCTTTTTCTCCCTTCCTCTCTTTTCTCTCTGTCTTGCTCGACTCGTTGCACAGGGACAGAGAAGGAGCAGATGCATCCGTCCACACTCAGCCTGATGAGGCTGCTCGGCCACGTCGCCTGGACCAGTGGGGAAACGCCACCTCGTCCCATAAACTTTAATAATTTATATCTCTCCCATTTTAATTCCGTAATTCTTGCACCATAAATCTTCTAAAATAAAACCCTACATATTAAAACGTTTTTCCTAATTTTGGGTGCCCATTTAAATTCTAGATATGGCTGCTTTTTTTTATTTAAATATTAATTCATAGTTGCATCAATTAG